GCATGGATGGAACTGGAGAGCATTATGCTAAGTGAAATAAGCCAGTCAATGAAGGAAAAACACCACATGATCTCACTCACTCATGGATAATAAAGACCATTATAAACTTATGAACAAAAATAGATACAGAAGCAGAGCAGCCTCGAACAGACTGTCAAACTACAGGGGGAAGGCCGGGGAGGGTGGGGGTCGGGGGGTAAGAGATCAACTGAAGGACTTGTATGCATGCATATAAGCATAACTAATGGACACAAGACACTGAGGGGTAGGGGAGGCCGGGGGAAGGTCAAGGGAAAAAAAAAAAGGAGACATATGTAATACTCTTTGTAATACTTTAAGCAATAAAACAAAATTTTTAAAAAAATCCATATATGTAGAAAAACATAAAATGAATTTGGAGTAATCAGAATTTGATCTTTATTAGATTCTTTTTTTCCCCCTTATATGTCACTCAAGCTCTTATTGATGAAAAAAGTTTGAAAAGTGTGGAAACTGTCAGAACCATTTTCGCTATTGAAACTCTCATTGAGTCCTGAGTTCTGACTTGGTCTCTTTTGTCTGTTTTAGGCGCCCACCACCTGACCTCTCCCCCTTCTCAATCAGAGTCTCTGCTTGCCATGTTTGACCCACTGTCTTCACATGAAGGTAAACTATTTAAAAATTGAGATATAATTGACATATAGCATTATATTCGTTTCAAGGGTACAACATAATGATTCAATATTTGTATATATTGTGAAATGGTCATCAAGTGAGCTTTTTGACTCTTGTCTTATCAAAGTCAGAAGTATGCAACCAAAGCCCATTGTTAATAATGCCTTGGTTAGAGCAGTTGTGTTTCAGTTGCAAACTTTTCCCCCTGTGTTCCAGGGACTTCTGCTGTGGTGAGGCCAAAAGTGCACTATGCCAGGCCTTCGCATCCACCACCAGACCCTCCGATCCTGGAAGGAGCTGTGGGAGGAAATGAGGCCAGGCTGCCAAACTTTGGTTCCCATGGTTTAACTCCAGCCGAAATGGAGGCATTCAAGCAGCGGCATTCTTACCCTGAGAGATTAGTTCGCAGCAGGAGCTCTGACATAGTATCTTCCGTCCGGAGACCCATGAGTGACCCCAGCTGGAACCGCCGCCCAGGGAATGAAGAGCGAGAGCTCCCTCCAGCCGCAGCCATTGGTGCTACCTCTTTGGTGGCTGCACCTCATTCGTCCTCTTCATCCCCGAGTAAGGACTCCTCAAGAGGAGAGGTATGGGACACAGGCCACGGAGAATTTGCTGGTGTGGTCAGCTTTAATCTCTATCTGCCTTATTCTCTTAATATCTGAAATTAACATGGATTATATACATCTAGGGTTAAGAATGGACAGTAGTCATCATTAAAGATGATTTGTCTAGTATATCCACAACCTAATCCATAGGAAACCTTTAGTACTTTGTTTTTGTAGTGTTGCATTTTTATGATGCTTTTAACTTTTTCCAAATAATTTTATATCAAATTTAATTTAAACCTCCAATTTCCTTCCGAGATGGTTAGCTATTATTTTTTTCAATGAGTATTATTTTTTATTTTGTTCTTCATCAAATTTTTAATTTACTTACTTATTAATTATACTGATGGTCCCATGGTTTTCTGTTTTACTCAATGGGTTTGTTACTGTCATTATTTTTGTCCCCGATTTGTTCAGTGGGAGCCCCTTCAAGCTGTCAGAGGTTCTTTTGATATGCGGCCATCATTCTTAGAGTATTTCTTTCCTTTTGGCACAAAACGTTATCAGCTTATATTGTACTGTGTCTGTCCTAGTCCTGGACCAGTCGTTTCTCCAAGGAACCCTTGTTCCTTTTAGTAGAAAATGGTATTTAAAAACCAAGATCTGGATATTAGGTGCTCTTTGCTGTAGGAGTGTTGCTACTCCCAGGACCTCACAGTAGACAAAGCCATGGGGGAGAGTGTGTGTGAATATACATGTGCATATACACATTAACATGTGTGTATCTTTCTCTTTATATGTAGAGAACCATGAACATACACCTATATATTTCATTCTACTCTAAAAACAACAGTTTATTTCATCTTTCTCCCATCCCATATTTGTAACTCCCTTCTGTGATAGAAATCCGTTTTCATAATTCTTCATGCATATACTTACTTGATCAGTCCTCATGTATGTAATCAATATGCCATCCCCGCTGCTAAACCATTCCTCACGGATGCCCTCATCGCTCTCCTTGGGTTCTGACACCCCATCTACAAGGATGCCCTTAGAGAAAATATTTTTAGTTCCAGTTTTGTTAGTGAATAAACAAATATTAAATGACTTGTTTAAGGTACATGATGGGCTACTGATACGTGGTCTTAATGATAACATAACTGATGATCAAAACATGAACTTTGAAGTTGGTCAGAATCTAGGCTTGAGTCCCAGCTGTGCCAGACATAGGCTATATAAATTTGGGGAAGATGAGTAATAACCTTTTTTAGCCTCATATTTCTCATCTACAGAAAGGGCTTAATAATAGTATTTATATCCTAAGGCTACTGTGAGGTTTAAATGAGATAACATATATCCTTACACTCAGTGTTTGGCACACAGTACAGACTGGGTTTTATTGTTAATACTACTGCTACCATCTCTACTACCCTCCTAGACTTTATTTGCATTGCACTTATTCTTAAGACTGTATTAAGTGCCTCCTCTATGCTAGGCTCCATTATAGGCTCTCAGTTTACTCACTGATGAGATAGTGCCTACCCTCAAGCAGATCCTTGTCTGGCTTAAAAGGTACACTTCCATGTTCCCGAAGCTTCCTCTACAGCAATAAGAACAGTTTTTCTTTTAAGACAAACCTGAGGGGTATTTGTATTTTACAGACTAACTGAAATCCTTTTCGTAGTAATTTGCCTGCTGCCCAACTCCAAATAAAGCATCAAACTTTTCCTACAGACTGAAGAACGCAAAGATAGCGATGATGAGAAATCAGACAGGAACAGACCTTGGTGGAGAAAACGTTTTGTTTCTGCCATGCCTAAAGGTAATTTTACAACATATTAGAATGCCATATTAGCAACCAGAAGCAAAGCCCTGAAATCTCTTTCCGAGCCCACATCTCAGCTCCTCTCTCCCTGAGGTTTGCTGGGCTTGTTTCCAGCTGTTTTTGCGCAGGTGGATGCTAAGGCAGAGTTTTAGCTTATTCTTTGCAGGAAGTGGTAGTGGTTTCATAAATGGAAGTCATGCAAGCGGTGGTTTAAATATCATGTACCCTGATGTTAGACACGTAGGACTTTTGACATATGTATTGCCAGTAATTATTGCAGGAAAAAAGGGATGCTATCAGTAATTAAACTGAAAATTTGAAATTCATCCTTTACATTCCTGGAATAAACTTAAGTTTTTAATGTTTATGTGCTTTGAGATTGTTTATACCCTGAATATTAGTGAGTGTTTATTTTGGAAGGCAGTTGTATAAAATTGTTCGCTTCTTTTGTGAATAGCCTGGCATCATACTAGTAGACATTGAGATTTGAGTTTGCAAAAGCATCTCTTCCTGAAAGGAGAGATCATCCAGGATTGCAGTTAGGGACTTCTTCCGATCTCAGCCCTGGGGCGCTCAGGAGCCGAGGGGCCGCCTTCACGCCGTACTCCAGCCACTTGAGGACGAGGAGAGCATGCCTCAGAGTTTTGAATGTGTTGTTTCTGAGCGGAGGTTAAGAGGCAGTGGTTTTGATTTAGTCCCAATAGATTCCCGTTAAATCATTCTTCCTGTGGCCAACGACTCTGAACGCATCTTTAAGAATCTTCAATGCTATTTTAAGAACGATTATCAATTGACACTTGGGGTTTCTTAGCTTTTAAACTTTTCACCTTCCTTTCACTTAGAAATGTTGGCACACCAGTTAACTCCAGAATGACTGCTGTCTGCCGAGTAGTGCAGTATGTTGTATGTCACACTACTGACTTTATTTAATTTCCAGCTCCCATACCATTTAGAAAGAAAGAAAAACAAGAAAAAGACAAAGATGAGCTGGGGCCTGACAGATTCTCAACACTCACAGGTTTGTAGACCCATGGACTTCCTGGCTCCTTCATTCCCAGAGCACATATTTCATAACACTTTTTCTTGGGTGCCATAAGCGTTGCCTTTTTAGAAGAGTGTGTCTGTGTGTGTACAGTGGGGAGTATGTTCTTCATAGCTCTGTGGTTTCCAGTTGGCGGCCACAGTGAATCTGTGTGCTCTTCCTGTAGACCGCCACCACCATCATCATCCTCATTATCATAACTTCCATTTATGGTGAGGCCCCTGGTCCTGGGCCTCTACACACCCCACAATCTGACATCTGAGGGGGATGATGCCACGCAGTGCCTTTTAGGAAAGTGGTGATGGTTTTAGCTCGGTGCATGCCATCTCTTCGGATCATTGATTGAATAATTTTCGCTAACGTTGATCATGGAACTCTAAATTTATTTTTGTCTGTAGCACTTGATTATTCAGGATCATAGTGAAATTCTGTTTTACCTAATCATTTCCTTTTTTCATGATAAGGTGTTTGTTCAAAGAATAAAATAAATTTATAAACTTTACCAATTTTTACAGCTTGAATCAGTTTACCATTGCTCTCTAACCCAAGGGAAATACAACTAGGGGTTGGGTTCTTACCTTATTCAGCATTTGTGTTTTTGCAGCTTGCTGTTGGCACATTATGATTGTGCTCCCTGAAAGGAAAGATTGTGAAAAGTAGTGTTAAGGACTCAGCCTTGAATTTGATAGCTGTGTACTGTTTCCAATGACTGTAAATTAACTACAGGGACATTCATTTCTCACCTCTTTTTTTCTTAATCTTGATTTGAAATTACATTCTAAGTTAACATGAAGAGCTTTATTTAAAAATGGGATAGGTTTCAAAAGAACATCCTCCTCAAAGCTGCTCAGCATAGTACAGGTAGACTCTCATTGTAATGCATGGCATTCTGATGTCTACCTCTGTTAAATTTAGATGTAGCTCCTTGGCCTAGCACACATCCCTGCTTTGATGCATGACTTTCCTGGATAAAGGGTTTTGAACAGCAGGTGCTGTGCTTCCAGGCCACCGTCCCTGCCGAGAGCCGTCAAGCCCCTCTTATTCAGTCAGCCAATACTGTTGAACATCTGACTCATGCCAGACACTGTGCTAAGTGGTGTGGGTAGTAAGTCATTTCACACCTGACCCCTGTTCTTCAGGAACCTACAGTCTGACTGAGACACGTTGGAAAAGCTTCTTTCTGGCAAGATACTTGTTTTTCTTTACCATTTTCCTAGTGTTAGGACACTACCAATGTTTGCAGAGTGGAATCTCTTCATGAAATCTCATGTTTTTACAATGTTGAATTGATAATTTTGGAGAAGGTATAAATTGTTTTTTACTTGACTTTGGGCAATATAGTATTTTTCTTGGTTCTTAAACTGGAAGCTTGGTAGAGTACAGTAATTTTTTTAAGTAAAGTATTTCATTTTCTTTGTGTTCAATTCAAGCCATTTAACTTCTCTACTGGTGCAAAAACTTCTACCCAATCCTAACTAATGACCCATTGAAAATTATTATTAAATCCATTTTAAAATGCTGTGAAAGGAAATTTCTTAACAGTCTGCTCATAATACCACCATCCTAACTATTCTTGTTTTTTTTCCATGTTCTCTCCCAATCTTTTTGTGTTTGTACATGGCTTTTCATGATTTAATCAGATTATGTATGTAACTGTATTCTTTTAACACTTGTTATTTCATAAGCCCTCTCCCAGTTTCTACTAAACTGATTGTTTTTAGTAGTTTTTATTGACTCTAAGATAATCTATCATCTGATTTTACTGCAGTGTGAACATTCTCTTGCTTTTGGATATTTAAATTGTACCCGACTTTTACTATGAAAATACTGCTCACAGCTTCATATATGTAGCATTTTTTATTTGTTTTCATTATTTTCTTAGGATAAAAATTTTAAGAATGGCATTATAGAAATAAAGTCAATAGGCAACATTATGGCTTCACTATAGTTAGCCAAATTCTGTTGTCCCTTTTTCAAAAGAGTCTCAACAGCACTGAAAACCAATAGCAAAAAGTACTCTCCCTCCACAAAATGACTTTGTAACGATAAAGATTTTTCAGTTTACATTTTGAAGATCAGATTATGACCCTGATCTGGCATCCAAATGTCATTATAGCAGAAAGATTACATTACTTTGGAAATCCTCTCTTTACAGTTTATTACAATTTTACGGAGACAGAAATACAAAATATTTTCTATGGAAAAAAAAAAGAAGAGCCTCTGAGCATAAGTACTTAACCTCTCTATACCTCGATTTCCTCTTCTATAAAACGGGGTGATAGTAGTACCTCCCTATGGGGTTATTGTGATGATTGATTGAGATTGCTCATATAAGGTGCTTAGCACAGTGCCTGGCATGTGGTCAGTGCTCAATAAATGGTAGCTGCTGTTAACACACACACATAGAAATTCTAGTGATTTTTATGTGATTTTAGACTTTTTAAAAAATGGGATTCTACCAGAATGTGGACATTTATGGTAGCCACCTGGTTGGCCTAGATCTATCGCAGGAGTTTACATTTCATTCTGGAACTTTCTGTGTCCCATAGATCTGTAGCAGTTCTTTGCTTTGATCACTGTTAATTACCTTGACTACAGGAAAACATTGCGATGTGCTGATTTTGCCGACAGGATGGCAGTCCTGTCAGTAAACAGTGCTGTGCTGTGATTGTGATCAGCTTTTTCTCTGTGCACCCAGGTACAATTCCAGCACTCCCCAGCAATGTCTAGGTTCTCTGGGAGTGCCTCTGATTCCATTGCATGCACAAAAGTGCTCTGTTCCGGCAGCTGCACTGTCATGGTGAGATCCAGTGAGATAGCATATGAAAATCTGAAGTTTTCAAATCTGGTGTAGAGAGAGAAATCCAGGAAGACTGGAGGAAGGCAACTTTTATTATTACTTAAAAGGCTTTAATTCTCAGTTTGAATACTTCTTTTTTGTTCCTTCAGCATGGAGATGTCTGAGTAAATGAAGTCTGCATATAAAATTGCATTGTGGGAAGTTCTGTTAGCATGAGTTGCTAATACCAGTGGTTTGAGTGTAAGCACTTTAGAAACCCATCATCCATTCAGTCCGCACTGAACTTTTTGACACTGTCATGTGGAATTCTGGCGATGATGAGAAAGTGGATCTAATTCTCCCAAATCCGTGCTTTGGCAAGGCTCTCAGACCCAGAAATGGGAGGAGTAGGCAGTTGCATGGTGCCTCTTAACACTGAGATATGTGCTCTTTTTAAGTCTTACCTCCTAATCGGCCTTTGGGATTATGCTCCTGGTGTCGTACTAACATCAGAGTTGGTACAAACCGAAGGGAGCTAATTCTCTCACTCTCCTTTCCCTGCAGATGATCCCAGCCCTAGACTCAGTGCACAAGCTCAGGCCGCTGAGGACATTCTGGACAAATACAGGAACGCCATTAAGCGAACCAGCCCCAGTGAAGGAGCAATGGCCAACTATGACAATGCAGGTGATAACCGTGGTAAAGATTTGAATAGTAACCTTTGTATCACAGTGATAAAGATGATCTGAATTAATAGTGCTACTTTTGAATAGCTGTCTGAAAAATATGATGTAATTCTCAAAATAAATGGAGAGGAAACAGAAGTATATAAAGCATAACTTCTACACAGCAGGTGTTTATGCTTGTATGCGCACTGGAAGAAGAGACACTAAGGGGGACTGGGAGAGGTGAACTTAGCCCAGCTTTTATTTTGGAAAGCCTTAAAATAACAGAAAAGTTTTTCCTAAAGCATTTGAAATTATTTTCTAAGAATAAAGATATTTTTCCTATACAAGCACAGTATCTTTATTATACTAAGGAACTTTTTATTCCTTTGATTTTATAAGTGTATATCTTATCTAAATTGATCTGTTAAAAACAATTGTGGTTCCACCACAGATCTCTCCTGGCTGCATTTGTGAGTTTACCCCTAACTCATTCCTGGGCAGCGGGAGAAGCCTTGGGGAGCCATGGCTGGCCCAGGGGTTTGCAGCTGTCTTCTATGGGAGGATTCCATGCCCATAAAATGAGGGGTTATGTAAAACGATTTTTGAGACCCCTTTTAGTTCTGTGGTTCAGTGATTCCGATTATAGAGTAGTAATATTTTTTAAAAATATGTTTTTATTTATTTTTTTGAGAGAGAGGAAAGGAGAGGGAAAGAGAGAAACATAGATATGAGAGAGAAATATCATTTGGTTACCTCCTGCACACACCCCTACCAGGGAACTGATCGAACCCAAAACCAGGGCATATGTCCTGACCAGGAATCAAACCGGCAACCTTTTGGTGCATAGTATGACACTCACCAACTGAGCCACACCAGCCAAGGCCAGATGATGATGATGATGATTACTAGAGTGGGGTCCCTCGGGCCGAAATTGGCTCTCCGACATCCCCCAAAGGGTCCCGGATTGCGAGAGGACGCAGGCCAGGCCAAGGGACCCCACTGGTGCATGATCAGGACCAAGGAGGGACGTGGGAGGTTGGCCAGTTGGGGAGGGACCGCAGGAGAGCTCCAGGGTGTGTCCGGCCTGTCTCGCTCAATCCCTGTCAGCCGGACCCCAGCAGCAAGCTAACCTACCTGTCGGAGCATCTGCCCACTGGTGGTCAGTGCACATCATAGCGAGCAGTTGAGCGGTCAGCATATCATTAGCATATTACGCTTTGATTGGTTGAACAGACGACTGGACACTTAGCATATTAGGCTTTTATTATATAGGATTATTATTATTAAATAAAGACTTTCATTGTTTTCAATTAGGATTGGTATAAGAAGTAGAATCATTCTCTTCTCAAAAAGTGGTCTCTTGACATATTATCATTGCTATAAATATCGTGTTGTAAAGCACAATGCTAATTTATCACTAAGTTGCCAGAACATTTCAGATTAAGCTGCTTATTATCCTTTTGGGGTGGGCTTTGTTTAGAGGCTATGGGTGACGGGGAAAGTGCACACGATTCTCCTCGAGATGAAGCACTGCAAAACATCTCAGCCGATGACCTCCCGGACTCTGCGAGCCAAGTGGCCCACCCTCAGGACTCAGCCTACTCTTACAGGTATTCCTCCTACAGGATTTAGGACTTTGGGGTTGGACTTTTCATCACCACTGCAGTCACCTCAGTCATGTGATTCATTGTGTCACTTAATAAAGGTATAAAGCAGAGAGATAAGAATGAAATGGCTATTTCCTGAGAAGACTTGGCTTCCTGTGTGGATGTCATATATCAGAGGCTTGAGTTCAGAGATAAAGGAAAACCTTGTGTGCTCACAGGCACCACATAAGCCATTACAATGAAACAGGTGGCCGAGCCTCTGCCCATGTAAAGCTCCCAGCCCCGGTGAGAAATGCTGGAGAGGGTGAGGGTGAGGGGGTGGGAGCTGGGTCAGCTGTCCCATAGGCCTGAGGAGCCCTCAGTTTGTCCTCCTCCTCACCCAGATTCCACAGTCACTGATACACGGCCAGTGTTGTTTCACATTTATTCCCCCCAGTTAGTTTAAAGAAGACCCTAATACATCATTTTATTTATAAACATTATGAAGCTTTGTAATTTTTTCCCTACAGTAAAATTGGAGGGAGTGGCAGACCATTTTTATTTTTCAGCCATGACTTTACCATTATATGTTTTATGAGACTGCAGAGTGGGTGAATATTACAGATGATAGGCTTAGTCTGTAAGTTACTCATTTTATAGGAAGCAAGCCCATAGGGAAAGACTCGGAGCTGCCAGGTGAGTGGACAGTGGGGATCCTGCAGGAGGAGCAGATGTGGCCTGTTCGCTGAGGGGCTTCAGCTCCTTCCTTTGAATGGCAGTTTGGACATTCTGAGGAAGCTCTGGTCGATGCCCTGTGGGACCAGAAAGGGCCACAGCCACCAGCAGATGAGAGCATGCTGGTGGCATCTCAGTGTGAACAGAGCTGCACTGCTGTGGAGGGCGACACCTTACTGCAGGGCGCTCTGCCCTTGGTGGTGGTCGGCGCCTCAGTAGTTGGAAGTTGAAAGGAGCAGCTTTTGGCTCCAGCAACAGAACAGTAAGAAAGGGCTTCCTGCCAGCTGTGAGCTGTCTAGTGGCCGGTCAACATTTGTCGAGAGCTGTAGTAGAGAGCATGCTGAGTGTGAGGGGTGTCTCCCAGGTACGCCTTTCTGACTCTCCTAGTGCCTCCTCTCATAGCACATCTTGCCCACAACACTTTTACGTCCTTGCTCCTCGGGTCACTAGAAAGCCTGTTCCTTTAAGTGAGATGTCAGTAAGTTTAAAATCTTCTTTGATTATGACCACTTACAACATTTGATTCCTGAGATAGCATATTAACTTACATAGCAAATGTTCATAAAATGTGATCCTATCTGGATAGAGAAATTAATGAATTTTCAACTCATTTTTTCAGAGATGCAAAAAAGAAACTGAGGCTTGCTCTTTGCTCTGCGGATTCAGTTGCTTTCCCAGTGCTAAGCCATTCAACAAGGAATGGTTTACCAGACCACACAGACCCAGAAGGTAAGTTTGCTATATGACCATTTATTTTTTCCTGTATTTGAAGGTTGAACCATATGAAATTGCCAGTATTCAACTGTATTTAAGCTTTATAGCAATTCCATATGGTTTAACTTAATAGATTTATGTTAGGATTAGTAAGGGCACTCGATTACTGCTGGTTCATTAAATGTTCAATGATTGAGCATGGCAGTTCAACTTAGTTCTACTGACACGTGCTAAAGCTGAATCGACATCCCAAAGGCTGAGGGATGACAACCCCTTAGGTGAGCACAAGGATTTTCTCAGCAGTAACAGAATTCTTGTTTTTTTGTTCAGAGAATGAAATTGTATGCTTCTTAAAAGTTCAAATAGCCGAAGCAATTAATTTACAAGATAAGAACTTAATGGCTCAGCTGCAGGAAACAATGCGTTGTGTGTGCCGCTTTGATAACAGGACTTGCAGGAAGCTGCTGGCCTCTATCGCCGAGGACTACAGGTAACATGCAGCTTCGCTTCACACCTTGTTTCAGCAGCAAGTAGTATCTTCTCGCCCTTGTCTTGGGGACGAATCTAGGCTTACGTGGAAGTGCTTGGCTCTGCTCACTGGACATAGATTCCTGAGGAGCACATTTGGCTGTTAGTCTGAAATGCGGTGATGAAGGAGCAGCTCTTCCGCACAGAGAAGTGCCATCTGCTTCAGCGCTGCACCAAGGAGCTTTAGCAGAGGTGGGGCCGGTGTAACGAGGGTATCATTTCCCCTTTGTAGGGTGAGAGGGAAGACTGCTTCCCTGGACCAGGGAGGCAGGAGCAGGCCCAGGAATTGCTCCCTTTGTCCCTGGGCAGCCCCTTGCTAACAGTTGAGGAGAAACACATAATTTAGACACTTAGGAAGTGAAGTGGCATTGAGGCTGAGGGCACAGGTGCTCTAAGATGGTCACATATAGACTGTATGCCAATAATTGGTGGCATGTTTAATGACCTAGTGGTATAGAACCTGTATTTTGTTCTTATTTCAGTTTTCTCTAGCAATCAATTTCCTGTTAGGTGCCAGGCCCTACCAGCATGGAGACTGTGCTCCGATATAAAATAGGCCAGCAGTGTGAGGGACTCAGCGTGTTCAGTAGTTAGGTAGCTAAGTGCTCAGCCCAGGAGATGCTGTTCTTCACAGACATGCAGCTCTGTTCTCGAGCTGGAAGCATAATTCGTCTTCCAGACTGTTGTCTGCAGCCTGACATGCTAACGTGGAAAACCAAAACCTATGAAGTAATCTTTTTATTTTTTTAAAGAAAAATTAGGACTCTTAGTTTCCAAAGAGAGCGTCCTGCAAAGCCTGTTTCCTTTCAGGAAAAGGGCCCCCTACATTGCTTACCTCACCCGCTGTCGGCAAGGACTGCAGACCACGCAGGCTCACCTGGAAAGGCTGCTGCAGAGGGTGCTGCGGGACAAGGAGGTGGCCAACCGATACTTCACCACCGTCTGTGTGAGGTTGCTGCTTGAGAGCAAAGAAAAGAAGATCAGGGAGTTCATTCAAGGTAACTGGAGACGTTCAATTGAGCATCTCTTCGGCCATAGCATTGGGAAGATTTGGACATTTTTGTTTTGTTAGTTTGTTTGAATACCTACATGTCTAAAAGCAGTTCCTTAAGTTCCCAGTCATTTTATGGGTTCTTAATAAGTAAAGTTTATTTTTATTGGTTTGAATATCTGTAGTTTATTTAAAAATGGATAAAATTGGTAAAGTTTTGGATCCACACAATTTTTCTCATTTTTTAAACCAAAGCATATAATTTTTATAACACACTCCTTATTCTTAAACTTTTATCTCTTACCTTTCTCCTGACTTTAATGATTTGGCCACATATTCTCCTAAAATAAATCATGCCCAGACACTTTTGGCTTTAAGAGCATAGTATCTGCATAGCTAGTGATTAAAATTATTTCTACAATTTCCTTTTTAAAATTATTCAGATAGTGTATTTTTAAAATTATTATTTTGCATTGGAGACTTTCAGAAACTCACAGCAGCTGATGATAAAACTGCTCAGGTAGAAGACTTCCTGCAGTTCCTCTACGGCGCGATGGCCCAGGACGTCATCTGGCAAAATGCGAGCGAGGAGCAGCTTCAGGACGCGCAGCTGGCCATCGAGCGAAGCGTGATGAATCGCATTTTCAAGCTTGCTTTCTACCCCAATCAGGATGGGGACATACTCCGTGACCAGTGAGTGCTCTCTGTGTAGGGCCTGTGTTGGACCACGTAGGGAGACGTCAGCTAGCCCATACTTTAGTGGAGCTATATATAAGACCGGTATCTAATAGAGAAATGCATGTTGTTACCATTTCCCACCCGTCAGAATTACAGTTTTCAGGGATGTGGAGACTCGGGCTGAAGGGTGTACACATTGGTCTGGCCTTTCTGGAAGGCACTGCTGTTTGCCTGGATTTAGCATTTTTGTTTTTCCTCTTCTGCATTTTCTTTTTCTTTTTTTTAGAATGGATCTCTTGTCCATTTAAAAAAAATTTTTTTTAATTGATTTCAGAGAGGAAAAGAGAGGAAGAGGTAGAAACATCAAAGATGAGAAAGAATCATTGATCAGAGCTGCCTCCTGCACATCCCCTACTGGGGATCAAGCCCGAAACCTGGGCATGTGCCCTGACCGGGAATGGAACCGGGTCTCTTGGTTCATGGGTCTGTGCCAAACCACCGAGCCTCACCGGCCGGACCTCTCCTGCAGTCTCTTGAGCATTGCTTTACAACCCGTTTCTCCCTCAAGCGCGTTGAGGTGCCCACTGTGCTCCCTAGCTGTAGCAGTGACTTAATGTGCCAGGGACTCTCGAGGGTCCCTGTAATAGCATCTCAGGGTGGTCATAGGTGGTTTTTGTAAGTTGTTTTTTTTTCATGGACATTTTAAGATATTGCGTGTATATTTGGGAGCATTCACTGTCCTCTGAATGGTTGGGATCGTCCCAGCCTGCCTCACTCATTCATAGTCTCAGAGCTGTTAGCTCACCCGAGCCCCTGTCCTTAACACACCAAGTGGGACCTGTTTTCTCTCCAGAGCACCAGTCTTTGGCTTCCAGCGTGGGATAAGGAGTAGGGACATTCAAACTGTGTTGGCTGCAAAGAGCACTTTGAAGCAGGGGGTGCCTGCCTTCTCCTCCCCGGCACTTCTGCAGGTGTTACAGAGGGAGAGCGCACGCCCTCTGGAAAGAACACCAGCAGCGGGGAAGCTGGTTTAATCAAAGCTTCGCCTGTTGAAGCTGAATTATTTTCCCTGTGAAATGAGAGCTTGTGTGTTGAGTCCCTTCCCCGTCTAAGCATCTTTGGCTTCTGGCTTTTGATCCTCTACCTCGTGACAGCCTGGTTGCTGATTAGGGTGTCGGACAGTCTGTGGGCTGAACGCTCCCCTCCTCTCTTCCTTGAATGCTGTCTGGTCTGGGCAAGAAGGACTTCTGACTGCATCCCCTCGCTCACTCAGCATTTCCGAGCAGATCCTGTTCAAAATGTGACTTTTTAACAAGACAGAATACCTACAGCTAAGAGAGAGTCTCAACTGTAATTGTAATCTGTATCTAGAAATAAGTCTAAAACAGTTTAAATGTCTTAAAGAATCAGTTATGACTCTGTGTGCCTTATTTTCTGACATGTATTTACATATTTGTTTTGGGGGTTTCCAGGGTTCTTCATGAACATATCCAGAGATTGTCGAAAGTGGTGACTGCCAACCACAGAGCGCTTCAGATCCCGGAGGTAACGCAGGTTCATAGCACGGGAGGCGTTGGGAATTAGAGCTGCACTTTATACTGTGTGCATGTTGCCAGTGTTTCAAGGAAACAGAATGTAATAAAATATGTCACACCGTTTGCGATAGAGGAACTTCATTCTAACTGAAGTTCTCAAAGATCCTCTGGGGATTAAAATTCCTGGTGAGGAAGGGACCTCGGTGGAGGAGAGGGCGAGCCAGGGCCCCCAGGCCGCAGAAACCGCTGCTCCAGGAGATTAGTTGTACCTGAATATGACGCCAACTTACCTTTTAGTTATTGATGATGGAGTTTTTACCTGCCATACAGCTCTTAAAAAACAGGAATTTCAGGTATGCGAGCTTCCTGGTTGTTTCATTAAAATCTTCACTAATGGAACATTGATTAGCATACAATTTTTAATTGTCTTTGATTTCTTGGAATCCTTTATTTCTAAAACTACTGCAGCAAAGACACGTTAATTATAAATTGCTTTCTTTTAAAGGTAGCTTGTTTGTACTTTTGGAATCGGCTGCTCCAGTAGAGAAGCTCCAGCCTAGCTATTTAAGAAAGATGGGAATTTTATGAATTCTAGGTTCTGTGTTACTGTATGCCATTTCCTCCATTAGAGGATATCTAAGTTTTTTTACTTTAAAATGCAAAGCAAATTATTTAAAAATTAAGCTTAAATCTTTAGTGGACGGCGAAGGAACCGAGATCTTGTTTTACTGAAAAGGGGGAGAGGCAACACGTGCCCCCTGCCTCCGGACCGGCGGGTGCTGTGGTCGCTGTCTGTGCTCCCGGCCGATTACAGCCCTGCCTGCCTGTCTGTGGTCTCGCTTAGGTTTATCTTCGGGAGGCGCCGTGGCCATCTGCGCAGTCGGAGATCAGAACCATCAGCGCTTACAAGACCCCGCGGGACAAGGTGCAGTGCATCCTGAGGATGTGCTCCACCATCATGAACCTGCTGAGCCTGGCCAACGAGGACTCTGTCCCCGGGGCGGACGACTTCGTCCCGGTGCTGGTGTTTGTGCTGATAAAGGTGGGCCCTCCCCGCTGGTCGTGAGAAGAGTTCATCTGGCATTGAGCAGGGTGGGGCACGCGTGTCCCAGGGGGTTAGACACGTGGCTCTTCCCAGGCCTCGAGCTCTGTGTGTCCAGAAAGAAAGTGTCTAACGTCCAGGTTTGTTCTGTCCAGAAGGCAGGGTTTTCAGGAGAAAGGGCGGGGGGGTCAGATTCCTAGAAGAGCGTTTTTTTTGTGTGTTTTTTTTTAAAAATATATTTTATTGATTTTTTAATAAGGGAGATGAAGGGAGAGGGATAGAGAGCCAGAAACATCGATGAGATAGAAACATGGATCAGCTGCCTCCTGCACACCCCCCACTGGGGACGTGCCCACAACCAAGGCACACACCCCTGACCGGAATCGAACCCGGGACCCCTCAGTCCGTAGGCCGACGCTCTATCCACTGAGCCAAACCAGTCAGGGCTCTAGAAGAGCGTTTTGAAGCAGGGCCAAAGTCCTTGGTTGGGGCTCAGTGTATAACTTCGAGTGAAAGAAAAATTGTGCTTTTGCATCTTCTTTCACCCTGGTTCTTTGTAGTACTTGTCACATAAACTACTAAATTTGCCAATCAGATCTCTCCTCCTTTGGCCTCTTATTTTGTAATTGTACCGTATTATTTCTAAAAGCCCGACAGCCCCAGCTGGTTTGGCTCAGTGGATAGAGCATCAGCCTGTGAACTGAAGGGTCCCGGCTTTGATTCCAGTCAAGGACACATGCCTCAGTTGCAAGCTTGATCCCTGGTCGTGGTCAGGGTGTGTGTGGGAGGCAACCAATCAATGTGTCTCTCTCACATTGATGTTTCTGTCTCTCTCCCACTCTCTAAAAATCAGTGGGAAAATATCCTCTGATGAAGATTAACAACAAAAAAAACAACAAAAAACCCTGACATATTTTGTCCATTTTTGTCTTTAAAATAAAATTTCATCATCTAAACAATAACATTGAAAAGTTATTCTGAACATTTTGGGGGAACCATACAGTTTGGGTGCATCACTCATGTGTTCCAGTCAGCTTAGCCCATCTGTTGATGTCTAAAGTATCTTTGACTCATATCTCATTAATTCTTAATGTTTGCAGTATTTCTGCAACCTCAACTCTGAGTCAGAACCCCAGGATCAGCGTGTGTAGCCTTCATAACTCCTCCCGTGGGCCGCTGCTCTTCTCTCTTCCACTGTGACATAAGCTTGCTTTAGGAACAGGCCTAGGCTTGTTTCCTAACCACTTACCACACCTGGGTCCTTTCTCGCCACGTGAAGGTGGAAAGCAGGTGTCCTGTGTCACCTCCTGCAGCACAGGGCATGTTATCTTGTCGTGTTTTCTTTCTCAGCTGCTTCTACCTGCACTTACCACCCAGTTTGCCTCTAGCATTTACTTCCCACCGAACACGCTGGAAGCCTGGGATATTGAGTAGGTCCCCTGGGGTGGTTCAACCTCCTTAGGGACCAGTGGGGTTCAGTGACCTGCAAGCATAGAAAGCTCTAGACCAGCTGTGGGCAAACTACGGCCCGCGGGCCGAATCCGGCCCGTTTGAAATGAATAAAACTAAAAAAAAAAAGACCGTATCCTTTTATGTAATGATGTTTACTTTGAATTTATATTAGTTCACACAAACACTCCATCCATGCTTTTGTTCCGGCCCTCCGGTCCAGTTTAAGAACCCATTGTGGCACT